CTTCATGCAGTAAACACTCAGTAAACATTTATTAAGCTGGCATATAGATTTCTGCCTTTTTTTATTGGATTAACGAGACATAGTTTAGATTGAAAGAGCCTTCTCATCATCCAGGCTCCATTTGACACAAACATGAAATGAATTTGCTTCTCCCTGTCCAAGCCCAGTTCCTGGCAAAATGGAACCACTCATTGCTAAGCTACTTTTGGGTTTGGTTTTTTGGTTTTTTAGTTTTTTTGAGATATCGTAGCTGGGAAGTTGGCAGCTTGCTCTTTCGAAGTGACAGCTTTCAAAAAGTCTACCTAACACAATTTAGCCTAATTCCAAACACATCAGAAAATGGACTGTTAAAAAAAAAAATCTCTCCTCATGAGCCAGCTGCCTCCCTGTCTTCCTACCCTTTCCCTAATATGAAAAAAAGTAGATTATTTTCTCCTTAGGTTGTAAAAATATTCTTCCGAGAATGATTATACCTGTCACAGATGGAATCTTGAAATCAGTTGAATGTTTAGGTTCATATCCTAGGAATTCCCTAGTGAATTGAAATCTCCATGCAATCTTTGGTAATATTATTACCAAACTGTAGGCATAAATACTGTCCATGAGGAAGTAGGTTTGTTTATTGTTGAAACAACAGGATAAAAGTTCCTCTCTCTATTTCTCTTGGATACCCCAAATTTTAAAGTATCATTAATTAGAATGATTAAAAACATTTTCTTAAGCAGCTTATTGTTTTTTAACTGTTGCTATTCAAATGTCCTGTACCGTAAAATGTAGAAGAAATGCTCAGTGGCTCAGAAGAAGCTAGAATACGAAGTGAGACCAGTATCTTCTCCAGAGATGGAAATCTGCCTGGTTTACTTTTCCTCTCACCAGAAGTATCTCAACAGCCTCCAAATGTATTTCCTTCTCTCCATTTGCTCCTCACCATTAGAATTACCTTCATGAAACATAGTTCTGATTATGTCATTTTGCTATTTAGAATCCTTTGCAAGTCTTTCTTTATCTGCAGGAGAAAAGGTAAGGTCTCAGTGTACCTACTGTAACAGGTCCCTGCCTACTTTTCCCAAGCTCATCCCCGCCTTGTCCCCATTACTTGATATGTACTGTTCCCTCTGCTAGAAATGCTGTTCCCATGCACTTGTCTGCCTGGAAGACTCCTATTCATCCTCTAAGACCAAACTCAGATGGCCTTTCATCATAAAGCCTTCCTCACCATCTTTCCCACTGTCCCCACACCGTATCATTACTTTCTCTGTTCTTTCATTGCAACTGGCATAATTTCTGTGACATTATTTGTTGCACTGAATTGCAATTATATTTTCTGTGTCTATTTCATCTAGTAGATGGAGAGCCACTTGAGGCCAGGGATTGGCTTACTCATCTTTGTGTCCTCAGAGAGAACTTAGCATACTTCCTGACACATAGGTGGCAATCATTAAATGCTTTTACACAAACTGAATGAAATGATGAATTGGTTCTATACAACATCATTTCTTAATCATACATTAAATGCCTTCCTAATTCTTTTAAAAACCCTCAATACAGAGAGGTTTACTCTGCACAAAGGTGAGATTGATAATTAACTAGTTAATTAATTGCTTTGGTTCTGACAGGGTGTGGGGTGGGAAGGAGGAGAGATGCTCAGAAAGGCACAAGACCCCATTAGCCTGAAAGATTCTAGATCTCTCCTGCATTTGACTTTTTAGGGATCTAGACTTGCTTTCCAGTTTGAATTCATCACATTAGATCTGCCAAATAAGGATTATAATCACTACTGCAAAGGATAACCTATGGTTAATAATGCAGAGTCAAACCAGACCAAGAATATAAGGCTATCTTCCAGAACATTACATCTCCTGCTAAAATAACCTTTGAGACCAGGAAAGCTGTAGAGAGATTTCCAGAAACAACCACTAAACATTCAGAACAGTCTATTAGGAAGAGATGCAAATCCAGCAATCTGAGGAGATTTTCACATATTTTAATTGGCTACAACTAAGTTCAGAAGGGGGCATGAAGAACCCCTAAAAACACATGAGGATGTCAAACATCACGACTGACTGGATGGTCCCATCTCTGGGGGCTCACTGTCACCTCAAATATTTCCATTTTTTTTTTTTAAATATCATGATGCTGTATGGGAAGAGCCTCATGTGAGTTTATACATTTTGAAATGCAGGCTAAAGTCATTCTTAACCAAATATTCACAAAAGCTGTGAATTAGGGTATCATACCCACTCAGTGTATATTATATATATATTGACTGCCACAGGAGCATTCGAAATGAAAAATCTGCCGTTTATCCCTTTTCCTCCTCTTGCTTCTCTGCCTTCTCAGTCAGTTTGGAAAGAGCAGCTTGATGAAGGGACACTTTTGGAAAAAGCTTCCATTGAAACAAATGAGGAGAGTTTGACAGCCAAAGCTGTCCTCAGCCCAGGGCTCAGGGAGCTTCAAGCCTTCTTTGATGCCCCTAGGGGTCACTGCATAAACTGCAAGAAGACAGCAGCTAATCACACGTGACAGCCTTAGCCAGGGATGACTTGGGAGAAATGGATGTATTTTGTGTCAGAAAACCTGCTTTTGGCACAATAAAAGAGAAATATGAAATGTAAAGGATAAGTAGGGGATAGTTCTTGATCACATGGTTTCTGTACTGGTATTTTTCTTCTGTTCTACTCATCTAGGACTTCCCCCATGATACCTGGGTTCAGAGACCCTATCCTCATGGTATGTAGTACTTAGCTCACACGTGGGAGACAGATTAAATGAAGACATGTTTTTAAAACCTGGAACCTGCTATTAATAATAAGATTATAATGACTCTAGGCCTGATGAGTCATTCAATTCTCAAGTGATTGATTTTTCATTCATTCTACAAATAGTCATTGGACACTCATATTCCTCTGCCAGGGCCTGTAATAGGTATCCCAGAATGTTACTTGGGCTGTGGACACATATGATTGTCAAGCAAATGATGACTGATTTTTCAAAATAATTCCCCACCCGTGCCTCCAAAAATAAATACACAGAAATCAATAATCCCAGATTTTTTTTTAAATCAACCTACCTACTCAAGTTCTCTGGTAGTTTTGATTTCTTGTTAGGAACATTTTGTTCAGATTTCAGATATACAGCCCCTGTAAGCTGTTACATGTTCCCCTTAGAAACAAGTGTTCACTGGGGTGTCTCCCAACCTTGTAGGGTATGACAACTTGCACATTCTGAGTCAATGAGCATTTGTTGGTCAAGTGTCTCATAGATCAGGTGTCTCATAGGCACTAGTCATTTGATCATCATGGCAACTGGGAAGTAAGTATTGCTTCCATTTTCTTGATGGAGAAACTGAGGCTCCCCTGGGTGGCAAAGTTAGTAAGTGACAAATGTGGAACCAGAACCCAATTCTTCTGAGTCCTGAACCAAGGGGCTCTTTGCTACATCTCACTGTCTCTGTTCACATTTCTCCTCACTGATCCTATGCCCCTTTCTCTTTCTGTTCTTTTTGCCCACTTCTTTCAGCACCTTGGCCCCCATTCCCCAGGGCCAAAAGTCTTCTCTGCCAGAGGAGGATTTTGCTAAAACACTGAATACACCAAGGTATAATAATTTGCTTATAATTGCTTGATAATTTGACGTCTGCATGCTTTCCAATTTTATTTGCATTCTTAAGAGAAAGGAAGGAAAAGAAAAGAAAAGAAAAGAAAGGAAAAGAAAAGAAAATGATAAACCCAAGTTTGGGCAGTGAAGGAGTGAACATCAACTACTTGCTTTGACCTCAGTTTCCCCACCTTGTAACATGGGGATTTAGATGAGTTAATTAACAAGTCCTTTTTAACTCAGTTCTGTGTCTCTAATCGCAGAGTTGTAGGGAATGCAGCACCCCACTCGGAGAGAGCTCAGAACTACAAGTTCACAAGTCTGTCCGGATGCTTCCACTCAACTGAAGAAGCCCTTCTGTGAGTTCCCCCCTCCAAATTTGGATGGTACCTTAATGGATGGTACTAGATATCTCTCTGTTTTCACAGTTGGATATCAAATTGTCTAGACATGATAGTAACCCAATCAAACCTGTCTACAAGGTGCAGGCAGTTCTCTAATTTGCCGGACTTGTTAATAATCAGCATGGTTCTTTCCCTTTGCTTTCAACTGCTGATCTCTTTCTGAGGAGGCGGATTAACCACCCACCACAGGGGTGATCGTGGGCACCTGCCCCCAACAAGTGGGTGTTTACCTCCCAGTGAAACCTAGCGCACAGTACCCTCAGGAGCAGAAGTGGGCTTGCTGCATGAGTGCTACCAACAAAAAGTGGTCCATGCGAGATGCCATTCAAGGACATGTGAATGTCCCTGCTGTGACCCAAGGGAATGCTGTCTGTGTCACCAAGCCACTGCTGGCTCCTGGGCCCCATCACAGTTGACAGGGCTGAGTGGAGGTCAGCTGCTGGCTGCTACTCCCAGAGCAGGTCCCTTGGGATCATTGGAGGCGAGAGCAGGGGAAGCAGCTTGCCTCACCTGCTCACTAGGCTGTTCTGGAGAGAAATAGAGGGCTTCCATCTCCATTACTGTCAGAGTCTGGCATCTTTCACCAGCTCTGAAATTCACAGCAATGGAGGGAGGAGGGAGAGGGAAAGAGGCACAAGCCAGACAATCAAAACAGCCACAATATTTTGGAAGTGGAAACTTCCAGCTAGAGAATATTTTTAAAAGCAGAACAGCAGGGCTGGAAGAGGCATCCACTGAGCCAATGCCCTTGTTTTTTAGAGGAAATAGCTAAGAGGTAGAAAGACAAAGTGACTTCCCTGGGATCACAAGGCTATTGAGTGGTAGAACTGGGACAAGAATCTGGATCTTGGGGCCTTTTACCACTCAAAAGAAGGCTTGGGAGTCTTTTCTTTGATACCAGACACTGGCAGGGGAGCTGCTTTTGTGGGAACCTAGTGGAGACAAAGGGTGCTGACCCAGCCAGCACCTGCAGGTAGGAGCAGGTGGGGAACCCTGTACCTTGCAGGTTGACACCTCGGGGCATCAACCCTTGCAGCTCCACAGTGGGGAGGTCATCCTCTGCCGCATTGGACGCGTTGCGGGGCAGGGCTCTCCTGCCTCCAAATGCAGGCTCAGAGGTCTCGGACATTCTCAGCTAGCTTCACAGGCTCCTTGTGGGGGAGAAAGGGAGACACAGAAAAGGAATGGGAGGCGAGTTACATTTGAGACAAGGATTCAAAAATAGAGAAGCAGACATGTCTGTGTGGGGTAGCACTGAAGCAACACATTGTGAGTTTCACATAAATAAAGCTTGAGAAGTGGCAGTAAGGATTAGTCTAATGATGGAGCACAGTTCCCCAAGGACCTTGGGGAGATTTCTTGTTTGTCAAAACATATGGAAAGCAGAAGAAACAGGACTTATTTGGAGAAATAAGATTTTAGAAAGCAGGGTATTTTTCCCCCCTCATTACCCCTAAAGGCAGTATTTTTGTAAGAAACATTTAATGTCATATGCCCGTACATATGTCCATTTCATATAGACTTACGAAGCCCTAAGTCACTTTTAAGAATAAAGTTGTCCAACCATGTCCAGATAAGTGGCATCCTCCAAAGCATTCATTTTTGCAACTTCATTCAACCAATATTTAATGAGAGCCTACTATGTGCCAGGCTGTGATCTGGGCACTTGGGATATATCAGAGAACAAAACAGAGGATTGTTGACCTAGAGAGCTTTCCGTCCAGTGAGGGCTAGGGTGGAGGCCACACTTTGCAGAGGTAAACAGAAAAGGGTGTGAGAAGGTGGCAAGTGCTTTGGAGCCAGGACCACACAGAGCAGGAGAAGGCTGATGGAATCTGGGTGGGTGAAGGGGGTACACTGCAATTTTAAATTAGGGCTATTAATAGCCTTTCTCTGAATGTATTTGGTCAGTGGTGCTAATACTGACTTTTCCCCAAGCCTGCTTCCCCTTCCTCTGGAGTTTGTACAGGCGAGGAGCCAGCTTAAACACCACACACCTCACTGTCAGGCCCCAATCAGTCGGTACTTGTTGACCAACTGACCAAATAAAGGGAGCCCTTGTTTCTGGCCCAAATGGAGCTTTTACCTTGATCACCTGGATCACCCAGTCATGACTCTTGGTTATTTGGCTCTTTTCAAAAACCAAGCACACCCTCAAAGATGAAGAGCATCCACTATAGAGGCAACCAGAGTAGACTGTTCCGGAAACATGTTGAGCAAAGGCAACACAGCTGGAGACAAGAGAACCACTTTCTAAGGTATTTGGTCTGGGAAGGAGACAGCAATGTTTGCGAGTATAAAGTCTGAATAGGTTTCCGTAAATACCTACAGACACAAAGGCTCCAGTGAGCTAAGGGGACAGGGAGAAAGGGTTAATGATGGAGGGAAGGTAAGAAAAAGCAGTCCTCTGGAGGAAAATAAGCCGGGTGAGGAGGGGAGGGTGTAGGGGAGAACAGAGTAGAGCAGTGCGGTAGCCTGTTGGGAGAGAGAACCCAGAAAGCTGAGAGCTGGTGAGCCCCAGGTGCTTACCAGGTAAGGGGAGACTGTGCAGGTGAGTGCAGGTGGGCAGGAGCAACCCCTTCTCCACAGGTCTGGGGGCGCAAGTGCTCAACTTCAGCTCTTGCATTGGGAGAGGGAAAGGGGATGCACAGGGATGCAGAGCCAAGCCAAGCTGGTGTTCTTACCTGGTCCTATATCCCTCTCTCTCTAACCTTTTGTTTCACCCCTCCATAGTCTGCTCCCCTGAAGAGAGGGGAGCTCCCTTGGGGGAGCACTCCCAGGTCCTTTATTCCCATCTGGTGGCCTTCTTGCAAGCAGCACCTTCTGGGAAGCTTGGAGTACCTGAGAAGTTCCCGCTTGGACAGAAGTGGGGCTGGGTAGGCGCTGAGATGGGGACCAGGAGAGGCAGTGGAAAAGTGGGGGCGCCTCTGACCCTTGTCCCCTATACCCGGAGCAGCCGCCTGAGGGATCGCTGGAAAACTCTAGGGCAGGGGGGCGGCGCAGCGGGCCCCTCGGCTCCTAGGTGTAGGTTTGCCGTGAGGCCCGGCAGGAGGGGCTGCTGCTTACCTGCGGTCCCCGCCTGAGGTGCCCTAATGCAGGCTGGCTCTGTGCGGCTCAGGGGTACTTCCTCAAAAGGACGCAGGAAAAACGACAAGAAAGTTGGCTCTTAAATAACTTCCTAACAGCCCCCACCCTCCTCCCCCTCCAATCCCACAGGGTTTTCTCCTCCCCCTTCTTGACAGCTGGAGCAAACAGAGCAGCTTCTAGGACTTTCTACTTACTTCTGCCATCCTGTTGATGTTATTCTGGCATGAGCCCCTCCTCCCACCCATGCCCCCTTACTCCCAAGTTCCTAGCCCTGCTTCTCCTCGCCATCCCCACCTCCAGTTCTGCCTCCCCTCTCCAGCGCCCCGCACACCCTGCCCCCTCCCTTTCCTCAGAGGGGCTGTAAGGGTCTTCCTCCGCAGGCAATGTCCCCCCTGGGGATTCTGAGGTTGGCTGCTTGGATGAAGGGTGGGTCTGCCCTCTGGCAGACAGGTCACAGACAGCTGTGACCATGCAAAAAGCAAGAGAAGTGTGTCCTTCTTGAGTCAATAAGGCTGAGGAGGGATGGTCTGCGTTCTTAAAACATCCATGGGAGCCTCAGCCACCACCTAACTGCAAGACTTCCCACAGGAGGGGAGGCCCAGCCCTGGGGAAGATGAGTAAATAACTTTAAGTGTCACAAAATTAGAAAATAACTGTTTTGTTTTTTTTTTTTTCCTGAAAACCATTTTGGTTTATCTTCAAATAACTGGAGAAATAGAAAATTTTTCTTCTATGTATATATTTTTTTCTGAGTCTTTGTATCTCTAAATACTCCTATTTTCAGACATGGCTATTTTTAACCTTCTTTACTGTCTTCAAATTTCTGACCTTGCCCCCTGATCTAATTTCAGAGAGAGAGGGGGAAAAAAAAGACACCATCGGTTAGGAATTCTCTAAATTTTCTGCTACCAATCTATGAACTTGCCTGCAAACTTACCCATATTTCCCTCTTTCTTTCTCTTACTAAAGTGGAAAAGGTTTCCAGTCACCCCTTTGTCCGTGGCCAAGTGCATGAGGCCCTGCCTTTTTGCCTGTGGTCCATGTCACCTTGTTCTCCAGGGCCTTGACATACTGCGTATCCATTCTTTCTCCTCTATCTTCAAGCTCCCACTCGGGCAGCTTCTCCCCACCAGCACTGACACAACTTCAAGGTAAGTCTCTTCAATACTAAGTTAAATCCTTCCCTGGGCCAACATGCCCCCGGCTATTGCTCCCCTCTTTCCTCTTCATTGCAAACTTCTGCCATCTGGCATCTGCCCCCATCATTCTGTTGAAACTATCTCAAGGTCACCAATGGTCTGTGCTAAATACAAAGGACAGGATTCTGTTCTAATTCACTTACCCTTTGGAGACACTGAACTTGCCCACTCTTGCCTTGAAGGTTTGTCCCCCTCGATTCTGGGGCATTACACTCCTCCAGGGCTGCACACACCCCCTCGGATTAACGTGGTGTTCCCATCGTTCTCATTTCCCATCTGTATCCTGACATGTCCCAAATTTAGGTCTTTAGCCATGATCTTTTCTAGAACCTCAGATTCCCCAATGTAACTGCCTCCTAACCATCTTGGCATGCCCCAGTGATAACTCACACACATCATGTCTAAAATGAGATGTGTAATTTCCCCTGAAAACCTGGTTCATCTCAAAAGTTCCCTGTCTCAGTGAATGCCATCACCCTAATTCTGTTGCCAAGCCAGACATGTGGTGTTGTTCTCGGCACTTCCTTCTTTTCCTCCCCTCAACTCCCAAATCCAATCCCTCAACAAACACTTTCTATTCTTCCTCTTAAATATCTCTTGAACCTACCCATCCACTCCCACTCCCACTGTGGAGGTTCAGACCACCACATCATCCTCTGTTTTCAAAATCCCCAGAACCACCTACCGCTTCCAATCTTGAGTCCTCCATCCTGTTCTCCACACTGCAGTGAGAAAGAGCTTTGAATCTGAAAGAGCTCAAACCTGAAATCAAATTGTTTGCACAAACTCTCCTATCACCACTTCCTTTTGCTTTTAGGACAAATTCCAAACTTTGGTTGCCTGGGTCTCTGCAATGTCTGTCCTACTTTACCCTCCATCCCCATCTCTTTCGCTCTCTCTTGCCTTATGCTCTCTTGCCTTCTGCCCTGCTCTCTCTTGCCTTCTGACCCCCACTCTACCCACCTCCTGCCCCCCCAACCCCTTGGGCTATGCTCCGGCCCCAGTGATTTCCCTGCTTGTACCACTTTTACCACTGCCAGCAAAACGCTCCTCTCCTCTCGCCTCTTCTCACCACCAGACTGTTTCTTACTTGCTCTCCAGATCTCAGCCTAAACTGCACACATGCCCTGCAGGGAGTTGGCCCTGTCCTGGTGCTTCTCTTGCAATGCAGCCACTGTCTGTCTCCTTGTCTGTACTCCCACTAAACTGCATGAGGGTAGAGACCCCAAATGGAGTTCCCCAGGGAGAGTCTGCTGACCATTCCATTACTCAAAGTCCATCCTTTCCATATTCTTTGCTGAGTTCTAGAGAAGGACCATCCTACTCTGGTAGTTCTCCCGACAAAAAGCGAGCCTGAGCGTCCAGAAGTCCTAGAGACCCCCTTGCCCATGTGGGTCTGGGGAAGAGTGGGGCAGCTTTGCATCCTTCAGATTAGGTGGCACATCTGCCAGACCCCCTGGGATTCCTGGCTGTGCTGTGCATTCAGGACAGGCTTGTCACCCTCACAACCACCACCCCTGTGCCACTTTTGGCCTGAGACTCAGTAGTTATTGTGTGACTATGCATACATGTTGCTTAGCTTTCTAACTTCCCCAAACCACTGACCCAGAAACATTAAAAACGCAATGGCTTTCCTTGTGCCTAAAACTAGTGTCAACAGGAGAGTGTCTGGGGTCACCAAGCACAGCACGTGGTTGAAGCCCAGAGATGTTACAGAGCTTTTCCCCACAGCACTGAGGCTTAGAAGTCAGAACGAAGTTTCCCGGCCATACCATGAACCTTGAGCTACGCCAAAAAAATGTGACTCTTGTAGAAGCAGCTGGATGAATAGACTCTGAACTCTGTGGTGTCCTTTGTTTCTGACTGTTTCTTGCCTGGTATGGAGGTGGCAAAATACAGGTATTTAAGGAACGTTGCATGTGGGGTCCAGCTGGGAAAACAAAAACCACCTCGGATATTTTTAAAAGAGGGAACGAACACAGGGGTTTGGTTACACGGGTGCCAGAAGAGACCAGAAGCCAAAGAGGGGAAAGCAAATCAACTCAGCAATTAGCAACAGCAGGGGGGTGTGGTGTCATCACAGCACAAGGGTTGGGGTTTTGGGGCGGGGACTGGGACTGCTTGGCATCTGGTCATCACCAGAAACACTGCCTGTCTGAGGTCGGGAGGGAGGGAAGAATGACTCTGGCTCTTCTCTTCCTTCCCTTTCCACTCTCCCTCCAGTGTCTCTCATTTGCTCAATTTGGTGAAAATCAGTTGATAAAGGAGTCCGGGTAACACAGTCCACAAAGCCGGTACCTCCACATCTGTTTTGAGAGGGCTTCCCAAGACCACCCCCAGGTTTGATGATTCACCAGGCTGTCATCCTCACAGCTGTGATTTATTACGGTGAAAAGATAAAAATCAAAATCAGCAAAGGACAAGGCTCATGGAGGGAAGTCCCAAGAAAGCCAGAAGCAGACTTCCAAGAGTCCCCTCCCAGTGGCATGAGACACATGCTTACATCCCCCAGCTATGAATGTGACAACACGTACGAAATGTTGCCTACCGGAGAAGCTCATTAGAGACCCAGTGCCCAGGGTTGTTATTGGAGGCTGGTCACACAGGTACTCTGCTGAGCATGTACCAAACTCCAGACTCACAGAAGGAAAGCAGGTGCTCAGCATAAACTGCATTGTCTGTCCAAACAGCGTGGGCACAGACAGCCATGTTCATCAGTTAGGGAACAGTGGGACTCCTGAGGTCCAAGTTCCCAGATGCCAGCCAAGGGCTAGCCATGCAAAGAAGACTTTCTGAGGAGGGTAGTCTCGGGTGTGCTGTGTTGACTCCTTTCTCCATATCACCCACACTGCCCACCCCCACACACCCCCAAAACAGAGTAAAGCAAGGACAAAGTGAGGAGTGGATCTCTGGGCAAACAGTTCTAGTGAGGCCTGTCCCTCACTCTCCCTTCTAGACGTTGCTGTCGGGGCCATAGTAATTGCTTGGAGCAAGAGGAAACTCCAAGGGGAAGGTCCTTGATTGGGGTAATACAGGTGCCCCCCCCACACACTTTCCCTGGCCTCACTGGCTCAGGATGGGACCCTTGAAGAGGCGTGCATTCTCTCGGAGTGCATAAGCCCTGGCACACCTTCTCATTTCCCTGCAACTAAAGGGGCCATGATCCCTGTGTCCTGTTGGTTGAAACAGAGCTGCAATTAACCCCTCATTGCCTACTCAAGGGGCAGGGCAAGAATACCTACAGCCGTCACTTAGGGATCCTGGCTCCCGTCAGAAATATGTAGCAATGTCTGGGAGCTGTAGGTGAACAGAAGGTGCATGGGATGGGGGGAAGGATTCCAAGTTATCTTACTTTGACTTGTTCAGTCTGAGTTTTCATTTCCAGGGTGTGGACACTCTTCTCTCTAGATAAACTACCATCTCTCTCCTACTTGGCAATACCCAGAAGCAGACTATTTGCTCAGGGGCTGACTGTTCCAGCAAACTCTATTTGATTTATATGCAAAACATCACATCTCAAACAAACAACAAAAAAGTCAGTCACGTCTGGACCCTGCTGGTTTTTTTCCAGTTGAAACAGACCTGGATTTTGTTGGTTATAGATGTAGTTGGTTGCACAGGGAGTGGATATAAATAACAACAAAGTTGCCAAACCCCCCAACATAAATGACCAAAGTCCATCTCTTGGGGAAGACTGTCTCCTCCAGTGACCTTGAGTCTTAGGAACTGGGGGGAACTTTCCACTCCAGAAGAGGTGGGGTTAGGGACAGGATGGGAAGGAGGCTGGGCGAAAAGTTTATAATCACGTTCCAGCCATCAGAGTGAACAGTCAGTAAAGGAGAG